TGGGAACTCTAAGGAGGGACTTCCCCCTACTTCCCTCACTGCCTTTCACTTTTACACCCTCTTCTCTTTTACATTCTTCTCTTCCTCTCCTGTTTCCTGTCATTTTTTCTTCTACTCACTCCCACTCTCTCTTCCCTTCTCTTCCCATTGGCTCCCTTCTTTCCCTTTGTCTGTTTCTCTCCATACTGGCTCCGCCATACCTTACCTGTGCCAGGCCACAGAGTGACAATAACACAACAGAAGGGGATAAAGAAAGCAAACAAGCAGGGGAGCTCACTGAAAAGAGGGATTATCTGTAGATGCGTGCTTTGTCAAGAGCTCCAGTTACTGATTCATTGATAAGCCCCTCCAACTGGCCGTGAGTAACTCAGCCAATCAGGGATCATTAATCCCCAAGACAAACGGAATTAGGATTTAGGTGCTTTTATTTTCTTAATGGCTCATTATGACACATTTATAACTGACACTGAACTGCTGAACCGTGCTGGGGTTAGTTTTGTTCTTGTTTTTTTGTTTTTTGCCAAGGTTCTGATTCTTCTTATGCCTCCTGCTATCAAAACCTCCCAACCCTCAATCAGCCTTCACCGCACCCTGCTGCTCAGAACAACGGCAAAAAGGAAAACACAACTGTTGAAATTGCCTCGATCAGCCCTGTGAAGGCTTAATGACTCACTAAATAGCCTATAACAACAAAGCCATTTAGAAAAACAGATGAATAAATCTTGCTGGTAATGAAAACGAAGGAAACCCTCATGCTGAACTTTGCGAGTACTGCTGAAGGTTTATAGCTCGGTGAATGAATGATTTTTTTTGTCACACTAGTCCAGCCCGTGGGGGGGTGGTGACGGATGTTCTCGGAGTCTCAGGGTAAAGACGGTATAGATCAGAGTGAAGATCAGCAGGAGAAAGTCTCTGGCCAGCCTCCTCCAAAGAAGAAACCAAAAGACATTGAGAGATGAAATGTCATCTATTGGAGCACATCTTGAGTCAGGCTGTGTCTTTATGGCTCTGCGTCTTATCAATATTTCATCTCTGCCACTCAAAAACCTCCTTATAGCCTCCATCTGGCAAACATCTGGATCATCTGTTGGCTCTCTTCCTTCTCTCACAGCATTTTATTTTATCGTCTTCTGTAATAAACACCTACAGTCCATAGTTCAGCTTTTAGTTGTACACAGCCTCTTTGCTGCATATGCTTGGCCACATTTGACCCTGTTCAGAACTGCAATCCAGATCCATCTGTGGTGATGTGATCAAAAAGGATAGCAAAAAAAAAAGGCTGATCAACCAAGCTACATTTGCAGGCAGACAGGGCTGCACGTTGTTTCCGAGGCTGTTGCTAAGCGGGAGCATTGGGGCGCAGTGCCCTCCCATGGCACAGTATTTTGTATAGTGTGTATAGTATAGTATAGTATAGTCAGACTGCCTTTCCAGCATGACCTAAAATCCAATGCAGCTTTCAGCAAATTGCAGCTTTAAAAGTTTGGTCCTGTCAGGAAATGTACTTTACGTAGTCATAAAGATAACTACACCGACAGCACAGTCCTAATGCTGTGGTAGTAGTCACAAATGAATTGTGTGCATGAATTGGTTTTGTAAGAAAGTCACATAAAAGAATATTGTGAATCTTAATGCAGAATCATAACGCAACAGGTGCAGCAGCCCTTTAATTCATTTGTTCATCCCCAAAACATCAACCAAGTAAAAGAATGCACTGAGCATTGATTAGTCATGAATGTATTGGTTTCTGTGGACAAGTGAAATCCAATCAGAAGTGGCCACTGGAGACTGATTTTGAGGTGCTTGTTGATGCCAGGAGTAAACGCTCCACTCCAGACACAACCAGGTATCTGAATACAATCCAGCTCTGAAGTGAACAGGGTCTTTATCACTTTCACAAACTTTTTCCCACCTAACCCTCACAAAGAGTTAGAAACTCTCTAATCCTGACTAATCTTAGCTGTTCCTCCTGGGTCCGGTTTGATTGACAGCCGCTGACACTTGCGAGGTTGAAGCAAACTTTTAAGGCTTTGTAAAGACACAGGAGGACAAAGCATGCTATCCCACAGGGCCTCCAGCTGAGGACATGATACTGTGGAGCCGGTTGACCCCTGGTAGTCATAATATCAGCGAGCAGCTCTGGAACTGAGGCTAAGGGAGGCCATGCTGTGCCTGCCTGGAGCCAAAGCGCTCAGCTGGTGCTGGAGGGGAAAAAAACTGGGGAGAGAAAACAAGGCCTTTGGTTTCACATCTGACCAGACTATAATTAGAGAGAGAAAAAGATTAGAATATGGCTGCTGATGCCACAAGACACCCACACATCCCGCTATCATGCATACACACACACACACACACACACACCCGCTCATTTGTTGCCCCTGCAAACCCAGTAGGACGGCCACTAATCCTGCAGCACATTTACAATCTGTGTAACGACAACCTGATACCCCCAGCAGGCCACGGCGAGCACACACATCCCTTTATGCTAACTCACGCCTCCCAAAGCCCCAACATGTACGTGTCAGCGGTAACAGCTGTGTCTCAGCTCCCGCCCTCCCTGTCTCACCTGGCCTCAGATCAGCTGACTGGTGCTCCCGTTCCCTTGGCGAGGAGCAAGAGTAGGCGTAATGTCTGATCCATGGACAGCGAGGCCCGGTGAAACGTCAGGCTAAACCCCCCCCCGCAGTGTTCTGACGAGTTCACCCGTATCGGATCATCAGCCTGCTGCATGCTCCAACACGGTCTCTGGCCTGTCTCCCCCCGACGGCCCTCGCTGTGTCAATGAACAGAGGTGGAGTATTGAAGACATCCGCAGTATGTCAGTGATACTGAACCGCGGGCCATTAGCAGCTATAGAGACACAACCAGCCGGCTGTCCAAGCCTAATCTGTCTCTGCTAAAAGCCTCAGAAATGCAACCTTATACGGCGCCTATGGGAATATGTGTTTCCAATCACTCTCCTCAGGAATGAATACCTGGCATATCTCGCCGTTGCACTTTTTCCCCCCTTTCTCCTGTCCACTCGGTTTACAGCAAACACCAGGCGAAAAATCTTGGGGCTGTTTCAAGGCGAGGCTTGAGAACAGGTCTCATTTTCCCAGACTCGGAGATTCCACAAGGGGCTCCTACATCAAGCTGTCATATTGGGCTAATGAAAATCTCATTCTACAGAGGGATCCTCTTAAAGCTGCTAAAGGCACATGCTAACCAGGGGATTAGGCCTGTAACGCTAGGGGACTTTAATTTCAGCACCAGCATAAGTCATAGCTGCTGAGCACTAACATTGATATATGGCTTAGGACTGACTAGCGTGCGTCGTAAGGGGTTTGCACCGGGGCGGGTGTGTTGCAGGGGGATTCGGGTGAGTCTCACAAGAGACACGGGATGAGATTCTGTAAACAACACCAGAGGAGCCATAGCCTGGATGTGTCTTTCACAGTCCGGCCTCAGTTTCAGAGCACATATGGTAACTTTTTTCTTCCACTGTGGCCTCGCTAAGATACCTAAAGTATCTTCTCTTGTCATCAGGTGTTGGATAAATCTTTGGAGAATGCATCATGAAGGAGCATGATGGCGAGAGACTCCCCAAACAAATCAATGAGTTACTCTGTTCCCATTTAAACAGCTGCTACTAGTGTGCCCTGCTTTAGGGGATCTAAATGTTAAATGTGGAGAAAAAACATAGCTGGCTGCTTCAGAGAGAGCGTGCATGCTCAGCACATTTTCATTTGGTAAATAAAGGTCAAGATCAACAATCACATGACGCTCCTGTGGGAATTACCCTTGCATGTAAACATGCAGGACCATCACCTCACTGATAATAGATTAATCTTGTTAGTATTATTGCTGACATGCAAAAAACTGCCCTCACTGTGGATTATCAACACAGTTAAATTCAGCCATGTAAGCATAAGTACTCACGTTTCTTTGGTGTGAATGAGAACGTGATTTTTATTAATGTACCTTTCAGAGGTGTAGACTTGGAATTTGGACTCTGCATTGGGTGTATCCTTGAAGTCTAACAAATGTGTATACCTCTCTTCCCTCAACACGTTTTTTGGATAATTTTGAAACCTGCACTGTTTGTCCTTGCTAGGGGTCTTCTTCTTTCCTGCCTTTTCCCTCCTGCTCACCTGTCAATCAGTAGAATGTGCATTGCAACACCTGCATGCTTGTGTGCAAAACAATACGGGGACCCACACATGAAAAACATTTCTCTACAGCGCTACTAGTTGGCAAAAACTCCATAGGGTACCTTTAAGTGACCAAAGTAATGGCTTCAATTCAGTCAGGACCACTTTTGTCAAAATATCTTTTATTCCACAGCAGAATGTTACATTTGGTATGGCTCTGTTCTGGGACCTCCTTGTCCTTCCACGTGCCTACGTGGAAAACCTTAAGGCAGGGAGAGCACACCTCCCTGCCCTTCCATGTGCATACATGGAAAAGTTTAAGACAAGGAGAGCGGCAGCAGAGACCCCCCAGGGTACAGAACGGAGCAAGCATCAACGGCAATCAGAAAATGACATTGATTAATTAGAAACAACATAAAAGGAGGAGCTGGGGTGGAGGTGGCTTGCAAAAAGGCTTGTAGAGGAAGCAGCTGAGATAGGCAGGCAGGCTAAAGCAGATTAAATAAGGCGCCATGAATGATATTTGCCAATTGGATGCTTGAGGGAATCAGGTGAGCTGTCAGCTGACTGAGTATGGTTTCCAATAGGAAGCTTAGAGGAATCAGCTGATCCATCAGCTGATGTATGTTTATGACTAGCTGTGATCATATGATATAGCTGGAATTGAGAGCTGAGCCTGACTTCGTGGCCTGCCTGAACTAACGCTATGCTCAATATTTGACTTACTTGAGACTCTCTTAAGAACTGAATCTTTCTGCTTTCAAGTTTGACCTTGTAAGAACAATTTAAAAAAAACTTATACTTTTTCCTATGAAGATTTGTCACTCGTATATTCACATTTCCCCATTGTCTCACTCTCTTCTCCAGGTTTTACCGGGGTGATTACCACATCGATGTCTGCATCAACGACTACCTTGACGTCTACTGTCCGCACTACATGGGCCTAGTCTCTGATGATAGGGCAGAGCGCTACATCCTCTACATGGTGAACTACGACGGCTACAGCTCCTGTGACCACACCGCCAAGGGCTTCAAGCGCTGGGAGTGCAACAGGCCTCTGTCGCCGAATGGACCACTGAAGTTCTCCGAGAAGTTCCAGCTCTTTACTCCCTTCTCCTTGGGCTTCGAGTTCCGCCCTGGCAGAGAGTATTACTATATCTGTGAGTCTTATTTGCAGTAATTCTTGTACTTTGTATACAGACAGAAATCAGATAGTTACTGATTTAAATGCACATTTTGCCATAAAGTTCTATTACAGCTGCTTGTGTTTAAACAACATTTATCATCTGACAACTCTGGCTTCTTTAGTTAAATGAAAACATTTTTTTGAAGAAAGTAATTGTCAAATATCTCAAAGTGAGGCACCCAGAAAGTATTGTGGTATCAGCACTGAAACCCAGGTATTGTGTCAGCACTGAAATAAAAAGATTTACATTTATTAACATTGAGTCACATCAGAAGATTGATATCAGTTTCATCTTGGAATGTTGCAAAAAGACAGCAGCAATGTTTGGGTTTTGTTTTGCAAGTCCTTGGAAGGAGGGCCAAGCCAAAATACAAGCCAGAGGGAGCAAAACTTCTCTACTGTTCTCTACTGAGGTCTCGTCTGAAGTGTCTTTTGTTGCTGGCTGGCTGAGCTCAGCTTTCTCCTCCCCGTGAGAAGACACAAGAAAACAAGCAGCTGGGAAGTCATGTTTTCATAAGTGAAGTCAGTGCCCTGCAGGGGCAGAAGAGAAGGGCTAAATGAGATACAGTGTGCTCCATGGTAGATTTTCGGTATTTATCTGACATCGGTCAGAGAAACTTCACACATAACAGAAACCAATAGTAAGGAGTGTAAGAGTCAGTGAAAAGAAAACACAATCTTGGCATTGCAACAAAGCACATAATAAAGATATCCAATCCAAGGAGATTGGTGAGTGGGTAGGGGAAGTATGGGGAAAGTTTTTTTCTCCATAGACCCAGAGCAGGTGTTTCAGAAAGCTGCCTAAAAACTCTGATTCATTAAAAAAAGATGCACAGTTTGACTCAACATCATCATCATTGATTTCCCCTTAAATTCCATCTCGACACATTTTGTATCTTTGAAAACTTTGCGACCTCCACTAGAAGCTAAAAAATAAGTTCTGTGTGTTTGTAATGAAGATTAAGATCACAGCACCATTAGACAACAATAGAATGTTTCCTCTTACAAGAAGTGCCATCTGGATTGTTTTGGTGTGAGTTGCTGAGTTTTGGAGATATCGGCCGTAGAGATGTCTGCTTTTTCTCAAATATAATGGAACCAGATGGCACTCGGCCTGTGGCACTCAAAGTGCCAAAAAAATACATTTGAAAATCTCAACAGCAATGTCTATTTTCCAGATATCATGACCCGGTTACCCATGATAATCCACAGACCATGTTGTAAGCAGTTTCACAGGGGAATTATTTAGTTTTCTACCAAACTACTGCGGCCAACCATAGCTGAACGTTAGCAATCTCAGTGAGCTAGCAAACGTTACAAAATACAGATTTTTGATTTTGGGGTGAACTGTCCCTTTAAGTGGTTAAGTAAACTATCCGTCACTCGACCTAACACTCTCCTCACATCAATGTGGTCTTTGTCTCACTGATCTTGGGTGATGCACTGGGAGGAACATTAGCATTGTCCTCATGCAAGTTGAACCAAATCTAAATCTTTATTTTTCTTGAAGTTTTGTATTGTGATTTATTACCCTTCTCCAAAAGTTTTTGTTGGATTTCTGTGTCCATTGGCTAGTCTACCCGACTCCGTTGAATAAATGTGACTGTTTGGGGAAATTGTGGTCTAACTGTTAGCCGTGCCAGAGAATTGTTGATGTTGTTGCAATTCCTTGGATGTTGATAAGAAAAATCATAGATTGCCTAATTCTGCTTCATTTGTTCAGTTGGCTCTGGTTGATGTGAAAATGAGTGAAGACCATGTTCTTGTAGTCTTTGATGATGATTGATCATCCAGAGAGAGAGAGAGAGAGAAAGGCAGAGAGACAGTCCATATGGCTTCGAGCAGTTTCAGGCCATATGGACTATCTCTGGCTGACTCAGATTCATGACTCATCCATCAGATCCTTGTTCACTAAAGACACTTTCCCCCCTCTGAGAACACAGGATCTGAGCACGGGATGAAATAACAAAAGACAGAGACATAAAATACCAAGGCCTTATAGACAGTATTTCACATAACACCGATATTTGTCCTCACATTGTATAAAGTGGTATAGGTGGAAAGAAGAGCTGGAATTATGTATACCAATAAATTCTCATTTGAATGGTAATCTCTGTGTTCCTCCACATAGAAATAGTTGGTTCACCTGTTTGGTGTGATGAATAGCTCTAAATACTACAGTATCCATGAGCCTCAGCTGCTATCGCTGTAGAAGCTAATCAGAGGCAGTAGTTGGAGCAAATTCATAAAGTTTCACCATTACCATTGTGAACATAACAATGCACCACAGTTGCTGAATTCATCTAACACTGATCCAGACTCAAAAAGCAAATTGCTCTTGTCTAATTATCACCTTATAACGTGTTTGCAAGAATTTACACATCCAGCAGACATGGTGCAACATTAGCATTCAATTATAGTCATGTTTTTGGCCACCTGATTCATGTAAATCCAATATACACTCTTCTTTAAGCTCTGTTTTAGTTTACACTAACTCCAGAGGCAATCTGGAGTTAGTTATCTAGCTGCTAAATGCTATGACACTATATTCATGTCTACTAGTCGTCAGCTTTGTTTGCTTGTTGGTGCTGGGTAGGTAGTGTACAGTGGGTTTATAAAGTTTTGTGCTGAAAAAAACAAAACTATTAGCTAAAACAGGCTAAAATGCACCACAACTGAGTAATATTGATTAGTGCGGCTTTAAGTTACTGAATCAGGTTTCTACACAGTGTAATCCTTAGCTTTAGCTCGCTGTGTACCAACAGCAAATTATAGTGCGTTCCATTTACCCCGGAAGTCTGAAGTCGGAGCTGGGAATGACATTACACCAACAGGCCAATAAACAGTGCAGTTTTCACTTAGTTGACACATGGAGCAGCCATGTTGGATTTTGAAGTTGAGGTTGGTGAGATTCTTCTGACTTTCCTAGTTGGAAATTCAACTTCAGGGGGGCATTGTAGTTTGAATTTCTGACTGGGAACTTTCGTCTTCCCAGTTCAAATGGAATGCACCATTAGTCTTGGTGATTTAATTTTCTGTACCGAAAAAGTTTTTATGTCCACAGGCTTGTACCTTTTGACTTTTTCATCAAAGAACTAGTTATTTTCTAATGCAGTTGCTTATCTTTTGTACTCGCAAACCTCAAGGTACTCCGACTGTAAGTCAGCTAACATTGTCTCAACAAAAACAGGACTATTACTTCTTGAGCCTCCAATTATGTAGGAAATATTTTTTTTTATCATTGAATGCTTACAGTATATCATCATGTATTCTCTCAAAGACTTTCTCAGAGCCTTGAAACTTATATTGGCAGTGAGAGACGAAGTATTGCTGTCACACATGAAAAACATATTTTTTCAGATGGATCCTTGTTTTTTTCCCAGCAGCATCATCCAGAAATGCCGGTTGCATTACAGTAAACTATGTTTTATCAGCTGCTGGTATCAGTGTCAAATTGCATGTTGACTGTGTCTTGCTCTAACAAAGCCCAACAATAGCTGATAGTTAATACCAGTGTTGTACATATAATATGGTTTGGGAATCCGTTAAGTGGTCATGTAAATGACACATTGAAGGGGGGCTCATGTCTACTTGTCTCAGTGAAGACAGATACTCCTTTGTCTTCCTCCGTGGTGATCGTCAGTTGCCCCAGGCAGGGTGGAAGAGGGGGTGGGACCACGTCAAATAGATGACACCTGCAGTTGGCTAATGCCATGCCCGTCTGGCAGGCAGACAAACACCCGGAGGAAAGCCACCCTGGTGGGATCAGTATTGCGGCTGGTCCTAGAAGGTCAAAGGTCACCAAGATGACGACGAGGTCTGCGCTGTGAGCTTCTCGTGGCCTCAGAGGGCGGCATGTTTTTCTAATAGAGCCTCAGTGGAGCAGGGAAAGCCTGATCCTAATCTCAGGGGATAGAAATCCAATTTTCAGAGGAGACAGTTGAGAGTCTGGCTCTCCCTGTGTGAGAGAGATGACTGTCTCCCTGTAAAGCCCTCGCGCTTCAAACGCCCGGGTCCCGCTCCATACAGCCAGTGCAGATCTACATCGATAATGACATGAACCCCGCCAGCCCAGTGCCCCGACAGTTTCCCTTTAGCTTCTCGCGGCTGAAGCAAAGACAAAAGGCTTTGTTTCCCCAAGATAAACCTATGATCACAAGAAAAACATCTGATCCTGCAGTATTTATATCAGGATCTGTCTAATTCACCTCACAGTCACTCCAAAGCCTGGCCTCACACGGTATCCCAGCCTGTTTAGTGATCTGTGATATGTGCTGCCAGTCCCGAATGTGCGATGGCGACGATCACGAGTCCCGCAGCACATGACTGAACATGTAACATGTGCCTGAGCGTGTGACCGGCTGGTTATACCGTCGCCCCGTTGTCATGGTGAGGCGGCTGCCGGATGACCTGACTAACGCTGGGTCTAGAGTTGCAGGCAGAGCTGGAGTTACAGTCATGGTGAAGCACGGCTGTGTTGCTCGAGGATAGAAAACCCAGACTCTGACCTCAGTGGCAGACATGAGAGAGAGGAGGAGAGACAGTTGGGTAATTGTGTGTGTGTTGGAATCTGTGAAGGGATGGCGGTATGGGGGGCAGAAAGAGGGTGAGAAAGTGAGATGAGAGAAAGACAGTGTGACACGGTGTCAGAGAAAGATAAAGAATGAGAGTGGGAAATGGTAGAAAGAGACAGCACATCGGAGAGGTCACCTGACAAATAATCCCAAATAACTGAAGTGAAATCAAAGCAATAATAAGACGTCCGTTAGAGATAATGCAGTGACGCCTCGGGGTGCATTGTCCTGCTTATGTCATGGTTACTTACCAAAGGAACACAAGAGCGGCTGTGTGGTTTTTTTTCCTGTTGCAGTGGTTTTATGGTTTTTATTTGGCCTTCTTACAATCCAAAAACAACTGCAGCTACTGTTAATGCAATATATCTCTTTTTGCAGCACTGATTTTTTTGGATGTTCAGTGCTGATTGAGTGTTAGGAACAATATATTTCATAAACATACTGAGAACAGCTTGTTACAGTGGCTAATAACTGCTATTTCAATATGTTGCCATCTAAAATATGATATCAGTTTAAACTATGTGTCACCTGTGAGTTAATTGCAATGCGGTGTGAGGCATATGTATTGTTGCTATGGTTACCTGCAGTTTAATATATCTTGCTCACTGATTTAGTGAAGAGAAATTCCCTGTTGGCTGTGGGGGAAAAAAATCTACAGTACTAGTCGTTACAATTAGTGCTGAAATGACTGACCGATTCGTCTATTAATCAAAAGACAGAAAATGTATGAACCATTAAGTCATTTATCAAACCAAAATTCCAAACATTAGCTGGTTCCATAATTTGAAATGTGAGATATTGCTGCTTTTCTCGGTTTTATCTTATTGTAAATGGTGTCACAAATCATGCTGGTAGGCCCCGCCCCTTAAAATCTGATTTTCAATGAGCACAAAGAAACTTTCCACTTTCAGCAGATGAATGTAAAAACATCATTCTAGTTTCAAACTCTGCACAGACAGCATTCTGCTCAAACATCCAACAGTAGGAAGAAGAGAAAGAGATTTCTGAGTGGAGGGGGGACTGCTCATTTTGTCTGACCAATGGACCATGAGCCAATAATATTTAAAGACGTCACCCTCGGGCTTGGGAACTTGTGACTTTTTTTGCTACTTTCTGACATTTTGTAGACCAGACTAATTGGAAGTTGCAGTCCTAATCGGAATAATTTCATAAGATCAATAAAATGTCCTAGACCGGGAGCTTGGAACAATGGTTTCTTTCATTTGTCCTATAATGTGTCTCGATATATCTGCCCATCAAGACTTTCGTGCGAGAGTGAAGAAGAACTCTTTTTATAGGACTCAAACAAAGAAGCGAGAGATAACAGCAGCCAAGGAAACAGAGACAGAAGGAGCATGAGAGGCATAAAGAAAGAAAAAGACTGGGCTTTGGCCAGTCGAGTTCAGAGACAGAAACTGAGACAGTGAGTTCTCCCGTCTGTTCCAGCCACCGTCGGGGTGTGAGGTAAGTTACTCGATACCCGCTGACACAGACAGAAGCAGCGTGATTGACACCGGTTCTCACTCGTTTATTTCCTCCCTCTGCTGCTTCACTTGCAATATTCCTCTCATGGTGAAGTTTTAAGGATGATTTTTATCTCCTCTCACAGCCGCGCGGTATCTGATAAACTACCTTTTGAAATAAGAACCAGAGTCATTGGCGACAGTGGAAACACTGACATGGTTTACTTTTATCAGGAATTTACTGCTGAGCCAGAATCCATCACAGGGAGCGTCTGGGCGAAAGGATAGAAGAGTGTCTGAGGACAAACTATGGGCACGTCTGTGCACAGATGCACATACCCGGGAAACCACGTACATGCATGCATGCATACCCAACGACACACGCCCACGAATATCCAAACACACTCGAGGTTGTGTGTGTGTGTGTGTGTGTGGGGGAGGAAATGAGTAGGTCAGAGTACCGAGGCCCTTGAGGAAAAATCAGATAAAGAGAAAGAGAGAAAAACTATTGTGGGATGAACATAAGGCCAGACAAAACATGGAAATATTCTTGACAAAAGTTCAGACAGAAGTTGAAGTCATTCGTCACAGCTGGAGACACCCTCAGCGCTCTATTAGCTACTTGGTCCCCAGCACTAGTTGAAAACTAATTAGATTTAGTAGCTCTACAAAACAATCACACCAACCGCACAAAAGTTTCTAATGATTGCCTTTCACATTCAGAAAACAGAGGAAATGAGATTTTGTAGGTGAGTATAACAGCATGACACACATCTGCAGAAACGGCTGCCCCTGGCCAAATTAGACTTGGAAATATGAGGGTGACATTGACATTGTTTCCTATCATAAAATATGGAGCACATTTCACATCAGGATGAGAGGGAAGTTCAGGAAACGAGGTAAAGCTCTTCAGACTGTATTTAAAGGGATTCGGTGGAGTACCTCTGATGAAGAAACAATCGACCTTGTCAGATTGTTCGTTTCTACTGCTTAGCCGATATTTATGAACGGAGGGGGATTTTAGAGTGAAGGTCAGGTGAAGCTGTGAATAATGGAGAATGGTGAGTGGGTTTGTATTAGCAGGACCACAAAACTTGTGTTGGAATCAGACTGCATGATTCTTTGGTGATGTAGATTAGGTGATCATAGAGTCAGAGGTTCTTGCGGTGAATTTATGGCTGGTCGAGGTCCAACATGTAATGAGCCAGGCTTCAAGACTTGCATTACAAACATACTGTAGTTAACTGGTAAGGAGGGGCCAGCTAGGGTCCGGCTTTAGAAGCTGAAGTTTCAAGTTTTTCCCACACTGTAAAACCAGATAAGTTGACACTGATTATATCCAAAATTAGAAAATAAAAAAATAAAAAAAACATTCTTCAGTGATTTTAAGTGAGTCATTTGGTCATTTTTATTTGTACTGTGAAATCAAAATGCCTAGTAAAAAGTACTTACCTAAAACTTAGTGTCACTTGAAATTACTAGTATAAGCTGTTTCATCAAGAATAAATTTTGTTTGTATAACTTGTAGGCTTATATCGCGTCTGATTCCGTCAGTATCTTCATTCAGTTCAAGTAATGTGATTCTGGATACTTACAGTATCTGAGTTTCAGTACTGATACCAAAAACCTAGAGAAATATAAGCAATTTTTTTGCAGAAGCCTTTATTAACCCTTCTCAAATGTTAAATGTGTAAACACAAGAAATTCTGAAAAAGCAAAATGTAAAAGTTCACTTAAATAGGTATTTTTTTTGTCTAAATTATTCGAATATTTAGTTTGGCAGTTCAGTTAAACTTTGTCTTGTTGGTGTTTATAGTATCATACTGCCAACAAATTGCTAGAGAAGAATGGTTGTTTTAGTTAAAATGTTCTGATGTTTTAAACTTTATTCCATGTGTTGAAACGTATACTTTTCTGTGTTTGGGTGAATCATTTCTCTTGTGTCCCTAGTTTGATGTAAAAATGTATTCATTTAAAGCCATTTCCTTTGTTGTCTGTTTATAAAGAATAATATGGAAGTGAAGGCAATTATGTCAAAAAAAGAAATTCTAATTTAATTGTTTTCTAACAAAACTGTTTTGTTTCCAGACGGATGACTCATGATGATGTGATTATTGAGCAAAATATGACGTCTGCCCTTTTAAACCATAACCATGCAGTGCTAGATCTGATCAAGGAAAGCATTTTGAAATGGAAAAGCATAGGCAACATGCATAAAGTGTTTTGTTCTTAACTCTGCGTGATGTTTCCACAGCCTCCATCACTGACGACAAGGGAAGACGGAGCTGCCTTCGACTCAAAGTCTTCGTCAGGCCTCAAAGTGAGTCACGGATTGTTGTGTCTACTCTGCCTGGTTTTCCATTCTGTTGTGCACCAGCTCATGGTCAGCCTGTGGACGAGTTCTCTAATCTTCATATATCCTCTCTCTTCTTTGTTTTTCTAAGACAATTGTGTGAAAAACTCTGGGAGCGTGCAGGAAGGGGTCGATTTTGAGGACAACAGTCACAACTCCCTAGAACCCAGAGGTTGGTGGTAATAAACAGTACATAATGTTTGAGTGTGTGCTTTAGAGGCAGAATTTACATTCCCCACAACTGCTACGTCTGCTGATAATATTTTTTTATTTTCATTTCCTTAAAAAAAGTTTCATGAATATGTATTAAGGAGAGTTTAAGAACTGAAGAAAATGTGTTATTTGTTATTGTTATTAGTATATTACCAGGAACTTTTAATTGTAATAGTCATTTTTAAATGCAGACAAGAATAATGTATAATTTTTTATGACATGGCAAGCTGTTACGCACATTTTTAGTAACTGATACATAAATAAGTTTACCTATTGCATGTCAATTGGGGTTAATATTGTAGGTTATTGGCTGATGAGTTGTGTGTAAACGTTTGTATTTCTGTGTCTACGTAGTGTTTGTTTTTGTTTAGAGGAAGTAGGATTTTGCTTGTACATCATGGCCGGATTAACAAGCTAGGGGGCCCTAACTCTGAGCCCCTATTGGCCCCCATATCTGTAGTGATTTGACTAAAGTAATAATTCAACATTTTGGGAAATACACTTTTTGCTGAGAGTAATATACCACTCTCATGTATATGTGCTAAACATGAAGCTAGAACTAAGAGATGGTTAGCATAGCTTAGCATAAAGACTGAAAACCAGTCAAATTATCTTGGTTATTTCTTTTTTTTAATTTATAGAAAAAGAGTTGTGGTTTTAAGGGCAACTCACTGCACCAAGCCAAGAAATAGTCCCACACATAACCTCCTTTAAATGCTCAGCTAACCATCTCCTGAGGTATAGCTTCATATGTAAGTGGTATTGATCTTCTCATCTAACTTGCAGAAAGAAAGAGAATAAACATATTTCCCAAAATGTTGTGTTTTGTGTAAACGTAACCATTCTTTCAAACTAAATGTTATTTAAGAATAAGCGCTGTGTACTTTTTGACACAGGGGTCAGGGTTTGAATACATTGTATGAGTACGTGAAGGGGGTTGCGTTGAAGCTAATAATGGGTTGCTCTTTAAGGCCCTTTTCAGTTCAGCTAATGCTCTGCTTTAGTGCTGCACATTCCCAAGCAAATTTACTGTAATTGAATTTACCACGAACCAACTGACACAACATGATGTCACCTTTGGGGGCCTGAAGATTTGGGGTCTAGGGGTAGGGGCCTTGTTGTATGTGTTGGTTCAAGGGTTCAGACAGGAATAAATGACAGCGTGATCAGTCCTGCTCACAGTGTCTGATTTCCTCGTCATTTTAACACAGAGAAAAAGCACCACTTCCTTTCTTCAAGTTTGAGCTGCTTTGCTTGTGAATGACAACATTCATCTCTCTCCCTTCAGACGGCATCGGTCCCGAGTCACCAGAGCCAGCACGAAGGGATGTGAACTCGGTCAGTCGGTGCCAGACTTCAGTCCTCCTGTTCAGCTCCGCCCTCATACTCCTGGCTGCCATCTTGTCTTTATAGCGCCCAGTCTGAGGAATCCCCCAGGAATGGACTGTCCTGATTGGACCACAGGCCACCTTACCCTGCGACCCCTCCCCTCAAGGAGCACTTTTAAAAAAAAAAAAAACACTGACAATCTCTCTAGGTGAAAAGAGAGAGGGAGGGACTTCAGCACCGAAGCCTTCACTGTTTTTTGACTTGCCAACGAGTGTGATTCTTGACTTTCTGGCGGGTGCTGATGGTGGAGGTGCCCCGAGGTGAAAGAGTCTCTGACCTGTCCGCCTCGCTACCGTTCACAGTATGCAGATATTAAACATTTCTTTTTGTTAAAGACAAGGACACATACATTGCTTTTAAACATATACACACACAGAACACAGACGACACAATCAGTTCACTCTTTAGCTTGAATGGCAAAGAAGCACAGCAGGATCCCTCAAAAGTTTACAGACTTTTAAAAAATTTTGTGTTCAGGAAAAACGTCACATAACCCCGACATGTAACATGATTAAATCTCACGTCAAAGCGGAGGAGGTTTTGAAGAAGATCTGGCAGCCACACATCACATACGGGCCAACGGAAAGGAAAAACAAGAAGTTGCTAAGAGACTGTTGCCAAGGGCGTGGGGGTAGGAGGTGGGCGTTTGAGTTAACCTTCCACTCAGGTTAAAAAAAGGAGTCTGATGCATCGTGTCAGACTGTGGAGGACCCTTGCTGAGAGTAAAAAAAAAAGAAAAGTTAAAGAAGCCCTCATCTTTTAGTGTTTGGATAGGGGCGGGTTTAATGATCGATTAATGTATTTGTTTTGTTTTTTAATAAATCACGTAATTCAATTGTAGCAGCCAACACGGGTGTACAGTAAAATATTTGAGCGGAGCGTAGAAGTGGATATGGTATTTTGCCAGGCAAAATGTATTTTCCTATTTATTGTGAAGTCCTCGTGCTTTTTTCTGTTCTGGTTAAGTCTGTAAGTACAGTAGAAAGGCAATAAAAAACAACTACCCATTATGTTAGTTCATATTACACACAGTTTATTTGATACAATCATACAAAAACACTGAGTATAGTTTATGTATCTGCTTGGATTGATTGCTGATGATGCTTTTTTAATTGTTTTTAACAAAGTCCAAGAAGAAGTAAAAAAAAAAAAAAAAAAAAAAAAAGTCTGATGTGCTATCAGGGTGTAGAAGTCGTTGAATATTTGTGTTTCGAATTTGTCATTAAAAATGTCACAAATGTAGTTTTACTATTACACTATTGCTTTTGTGAATCACTGTCATAACACAGCTATTGTATATATAGAGGCAAATTTCCTACAAAGTTCAGGGATGTGTCCATGCCTAACATGAGGTAAAAGATGATTTTTGTTTAGTTTTTCTAAATCGGGGAAGGTTGCTCTTCCTCGAATAAAACAGCACAAGTTTTCTGTGGCTAAAGATGTTTCAGTGAGACAGTGACTGAGTTACAGAGCAGGTGGTGGTAGTGTGTGAGGGGCAGGGGGGTTGTGCGTGATTCTTTGATGTCGTGTAAAGTGGCGTCTGAACAGAAAATACACCGGGGGCACCCTTGTACCGGTTATTTCTGGAATGAAAAATCGACCACCCGGGGAGATGGAATATACAGAGCGAGGTGTCCTGTTCTCTCGGGGCAAACTGAAACTCTACCACCAATGGACCTGAGAGGCGAAAGAGAAGTAGAGCAAGATGTGAAGCTTTGTAGTGTTCCTGCTGAGATCAATAGCGATGTTTTAAAGCAGGAACATGCGGTAAACATATCTTCTCCACTAGGCTTGTGCTGATTGGCGCAAATCAAAATCCATTATTGACAGTTGAAGAGACGATGGCCTTTTTTTTGTCAAAGAACAAAATCTAAACTTTGCTCTTTACTGTGCATTTACAGGAGATGTTTGTGGTGGAGTGGCATGCCTGCGCCTGGTGATGATGATCACTGTTAACAATCAGCACAAGTGACTCTGCTCCTTAAGTCAAAGAACAAGCAAAACACGTTTCATCTTCTGACAAGTGCAATCTGATAAAAACCCGGCATTCTCCATTCTCCATATGCCTGCTCACCAAAGCTTTGCTCTGTGCACCGATGTCCACAGCATCCGCTGCCATTATAGCCGCTGTGTGTCCACTGGGTCCGTGAGCCACACGATTTTGAAAACTCTTTCCCCCGTTCTGCTACCTTTGGCTACCTTTTTGCCAGACCTACCTGTGTCGCTGAAGAGTGAAATTCACTTGTGAATGTATATAAATGCCTGTTATTAATTTTTAATTATGCATTTAATTTGTTACTGACTTTGTCTAAAGTACAGCAAAACTAGTTTTTCGTGTTTGTAACTATAGAGAGACCGAGAAACTGAGAGAAGATACCTTTACCCATCTGCACTTGGAGACCATTGAATTATCTATCAGTGTTCTCTGGTAATGACAAAATGACAATATAACAATACTATAAAATATAGACTGCCCAACCGTATTTTCCACCCATCACTCTCAGCACTACTGAAAGCAGCTCACTGTCACAGTATGATGCAGTATTAGGGCCACTTATTAAAGACTGATATTAAAAGTTGTCAATTTGAGCTAAAAGTTATAATGAGTCATAAGTTTAAAAATAAAATGATCATTTTGAAAACTAAGTAGTAGAATAAAACTCTATGTTACAAGAGAAAATGATAAAGAATAAAGAAAAAAGTATTAATTTCAGAGGCAACTATGAGAATGAATCAGAATTTTGGATTAAAGTTGTAATTTCACAGGAATAAATATCAAAATAAGTAATTTTTGAAGAAAAGTCAAAATATGAGAATAAAGTATTTTACAAAAATCACAATGAGATGTAATTTTACAAGAAAAAGTTATTACAGGAATAAAATTGTAATTTTGCGTAAAAAGTAACCTGAGTTATCTTGTTACAATAGTAAAATTTTTCTTGAAATATTTTTATTTCCTTATCATTGGACCTAATATTCCATCATTGTGCAGACGGCTTGCTGTCAGAGAAGAAAAGTTACTCACTTAAAGGGCCACTCCCTCGATTTCATAGTGCACATCCATAAAGTAAAATGAGTCACGAGAGACAACAACTAACAGAGGACGGATATGCTGACCTTTTACTCTCAACTACAAGTTTAATACCCCATAATGCAACTCAGTTGTATCTTTCGTTAGACTGTTCCAGCCTAGTAAATGCACATCTTTCAAACTCTGCGCCACCAGTTTGTTACACACACTTCCTGTACTTTATTTTACAAAAGGGTTCCTCCTGTACCACAGAAGACATTATACAACGTTTTTCACAGGCTGAGCAGTCCTCTATGTGATAAGTAAACGGAAGTTGATGTGTGAAATTGGTGCAGTGCTCCTTTAAATAGTAATTTATCATTTAAAAGTAATTGCATTAAATTACAGAGCTGTACTGATATTTCTTTCCTTCAAATTAGTAACATCACCTTCACCCCTCAATACTCTTGTCTTACACTAATTACATTCAAATTGTGTTACATAATTTCAGATTACTGTTTCACAGACCTAAAGAATATTCACATATGTCAGTACGAAATCTAAATAAAAATGTCATTAAATCTGAGCTGAGAGTGCCGGGGAGAAAAGAACTGAAGGCAATAACATAATAACATAGGTTTTGGTCTACAAGTGTATAATGTGAGGGAAGGAATTATTAATGTAAGGACATAAATCAAGTTTTTGAGGGTAGTTTCAGGGAGTAATTCTTAATTTGAGAGCACAAATGACTACTTTATTAAATCTTTTCCTCCTCACACCTACCAGCCTCCAGCCACTTCAGTTCAGCCAACATTAAGAGTCCACTGTCACTGTAATAATCGCCTCCAGCCATGCCATGATGAGAAAAACCAATCAGTTAGTTTGTGGATACCGTGTATCCAGCAGTTAGTCTGTTGTAACATACAGTGTTAGATACTTTCTCTTTTTTTCCACACCTCTTTTGAAGGGCGATTTAACTGACACATTAATGTTCTTAGCAAGAAAAAAGCTTCACTGTTTGATATGAAAAAATGCTTCGTTTCATTTTATATGTCTTTTATATGAAACAAAAAAATAATAATACAGGATTAACGTTGCACCCTCTGTCTGTAAATGTGTGCAAACATGGCACACAGTGACCATGCAGTGCAGTCGGGTTACAATCATGAATCAAAGGGCCTGAAGAAAGAACAGATGGATCTCCAAGAGCTAGAATATCTGTTTTCCCTGACTTTTTTTTTCTCCCACAGCTGCTCTTGTTCATTGTATTGTTGCATCAAAAGTGTCTTTAAAGGTGCAAGATGTTCTTTCTTTCTGTTTGTGGTCTTTTGCTAATCTTCACCTCCAGCTGTTTCCAAACCAAGCTACGTTTAAGATCGGCGCGGCAATGTTGCGGGATTCAGGAGATACAGTTGACTTTTATTGGTGTGCAGAAGCTCAATGTGCTTGTTTGTGGCAGCAGGAGAAAGTCTGTTTTCCACCTCGAGCTTTGATGTTTCATGTTTTATTGAGCAAACTGCGCTACAAGGAGAGCAGATATTATATTCTAAGGACTTCTTCACCTGATTTTGGTACCATGTAGCCTGAAGCGAACGCCACTGTGTCCCTGCTTTGCAGCGTCTGTTCTCCATTCTGTGTATCTGAAAAAAGGATGTGTGTTTTTGTCAGTGCATCTAGCATTGGGGAGGTTTTTGTTACTTTAGCCACAACTGTGCTTTTTTCCCTCAAAAACTAGACATGGATGTGCCACAGAACCGCACATTTCTTTGAACATTGTAGTAACTGTACCTTGTGCCTATATGAGCCCCATCCTCTCCTGTACTCATCTAATCTATTCTAATGTCTGTTTCCTGCTCAATCCTTCACTAGAATTTTCTACAAAAAGGCCATTTCTTTGTAAATACACGTGTTGGAGCAGCTATGACTAACAAAAAAAAAAAAAAAAAAAGATTTAATAAATATTTCTTTGTCGTTGTAATTATCGTGTCTGTTTTTTTTATTAATCGTTATGCAAATGAGTGACAGTTTGTGAAATGGAAAGAACATCAAAAAGGCGTGAAGGCTTCGTCGGAGCAGCTCGATGTTTGTCTTGGTTGTCACTTGATGCATAATCGCACAGGCCGGGTCCGGGGGAAGTGGGTGAACAGCTGTTTCTCTATAATCTGGAGGTAATTCACAAGCTGAAAAAACAAGAAAAAAAAAACAACAGCTCCAATTAATCTTGTGGGAATGTGCAGCGCTTCAGGGAGCTCTGCCAAGAAAACTCTGTCTCGCGCTGTCTTGAGCTCCTTGCCTCGCTCTGCCTCTCCTGCTGTCTGCATCAAATCCTCACTTTCTGTCTCTCTCTTCCTCCCTTTGTCTCTGCACTGACTTCACCAACTTGCTGCAAAAACTTTAAGACGTCCTATAATAGCAGTCAGACTGTTGTCACAAACACAATGGGACATTTCCAGGAAAAGGTCAAGAACACACGATTCTGTGGTCCAGAAGAACAACCTGTTTTATCAACAGTAATGATGCTGTGCAGCTGAGGTGTCTGAATCAAAGCTGGTGGAAATCTCACATTTCTCCTTTGGATGGTTTGGAGCTGTGAATTCTCAGTGGTGGAAAAATCCTTTCCACTCTTTAAGTACTGCAGTGATGTTTGCACCTTCATAAAGCATTGAGTCACAAGAGACTGAATGACAAAATAATGGTCAAACTTGGCTGACAAGAAAACATTTCCCATAATGCAACTTGAAATTATCATTCACTAGACCCTTCCTGACTGGGAAAATGTCTTTCAAAAGTCACACCCCAAGTCTGTAACGCAGACTTTCTGTTATAAATCTGTCCAGACTACTCTGATGACATCATTATGACATCATCATGGTTATTTAGTGGCTCCTCCACAGCGACAGAAAATAAGGGTTTTCACAGGCGGACTAGAAGTCCTCATAATGTGTAAACCGATGTTAATGTGTATAAATACAAGCAATAACACTGTAAAAATACCCAGTTTGTAGTAGAAGTTCTGCATCTGCTGCTCAAGTAAAACAAAAGTACAAGCATAAGGGCGGCAGTATGTCAGTCCAAAGGGGCCGGAGGGTTGCTGGTTCAAGTACAGCACAGAGCATGGACTGATAGTTAGAGATGTGCTCGTTTCTCCTCCTGGGCACTGCTGAGGTGCCCTTGAACCCCCAACTGCTCCAAGGACACCATTACATGGCAGCTCACAGCTCCACCATCTCCCCACATGTGTATGCCTGTAAGCATGTTAAGCATCCATGTGAGCATGATTGGATTTCGGGCCTGTGTGTGTAAAAAAAATACAATTAAAAAATGAGAGAGAAAAATTATTTCCCCATTGGGGATCAATAAAGCCAATCTTCTTCTAAATACTGAACTAGAGTATTAACTTTAGGGTGAAAATGATCAAATGCAGACAGAAAGAAAAACACTTTCCCTCTGAGATGTAGTGGAGAAAAAACATGAGGGACATACTTCATAATTATTAAATTAATCAAATACTTCCTCAAAACTTAAAAAAGGTACTTTACTGTCCACCTCTGATCACGTGTCTGCTCTCGGAGGAACATGGAGTTGAGTATTTTTTTCCGCTGTGAACAATGAGCAATGGAAGGAGATACTGCTATTGGGCACAGACTTCAGAGTCAGTGACCTTCTCTTCTTTTCCAAAACCGCTGGTGACACCCAAGTCCACTGCCACCCTCAATCTTGGTCCTGAGGAGGCCATGTCTATTCTCAGACGGCCCTGTGGTCAGGTGCTAACTGAAGGATGCACTGCAGTTCACCCTCGCTCAGTACAACTGTGGTTCAAGAAGAGAAGCCTTAGTGGTTAGAGAGACTTAACTGCAAGCATAATGGGCCACTTCAGTCTCCTTCTGATTCACCCTGCTGAAGTGCCCTTGAGCAAGACTCTGACATTTTATAAAGTCATTTCTGTCTTTCAGATATTTCAAGATAGTGTCACTCATTCGTAGCAAATTCTTGAAATAACTCAACTCAATAACTTAAATCATCTAACTGCACTGGCAGATTTTGCTGTTTTAGGATCAGGGCCATAGTTAACCACATGCAGGACTCAAGATCCTAACCTCAAAATCAAAATATAAAATATAATTTATTATGATTATTATAAAATATAAATTATAATAATACATGATATATTGAAATTGTATTTGCCATGCACATCTTTGTAATTGGCTGCCATTCAAAACCTCATTCATCACATAAACCTTCAGTGTGTAACAGAGGGCGCCTGCCACAGGGCTGCCCTGCTGCGGAAATTTTACTAGCTAGTGCTAAAAAAAAGTCTGAAAAATAGACACATGTTTGACCAGGAAAGGACCTGACTAGCAGACCTCACTCCCAGACACAAACACAGACAGACAAACACTTGCGGCCCCGTTTGTAAGCTAATGCTATCTGGCGGGCCTTGGCATGGAAAGGTTTGGGAGCCCCTGTGCTAAAAGGAGCAGTTGAAAATTAGCCGACTGGCTAACACTGCACATTTAAAGAAATATTGATTTATGGGTGTTGTCCTTTTAAATAAAGAAAATGAGGATGAAATTAACTTTACAGAAAATATAACAATTACATGAATGACTAACATGACAATATTATCTTTTCTTTTGGTGAGGCCTGTTTACGACCCAAGGACGAATGACTGTTTTCAGTGGAGATTTCTGAGGATATAAAGCAAGCATTATCAGCTGTAGGTCTACTACTATGCACCGTGGGATAGATGAAATAATGCCAGCACTTCATTCAAAAGGACTTAAATTCGCCAATTAGTAGTTACACACCCCATGTAGTGAAAATCATCACAAAAAACACACCATGTAGCATCCACGCTACACTAAACAGATGTTTTTGCCAAGAAACAATTAGTTAGATACAATTAGTTGCCAAGTATACATGTGCAGAAAAAAGAACCCTCAGTCATATGAGTATACAATTTCAGAAAGTACATAAATCATAGAGTTTAAACTTTTTTGTTTGCAACCATAGAAACAACACAAAATCTAACTTTCCCTCTTATATTTGTGTGTTTTAGTGTTAATCTCATGCACCTGCAATTTATAGACAGATGTTTTAATCTTTCTTGAGCTCTTGCCTCCTGTTGTTATAGAAACAACAAAAATCACTGAGTCTACTCTGCCAGTCTACAGGATTCTGCTGCTAATCGTTATTCAACCCACCTTTATAGATGGGTTTGTACCTGGCATGAAGTCAACTCGAGTCTAACTGTTTCCATTACTTTAGCTACCTCCTGTAGGCTACATGTTTCATGTTGACAGATGTTGGATTGTGGGAATGTCTCAAACTGGACTTCCCATTGATAACCAGTCCCTTGTTATCTGTGTTTTGGGTCTGAGGGAAATATATCTGCCAGACACTTCCACTTCCTGTTCTTGGCTCTACCCACTGATTTTGTGGCCTCATCTGTGGTTGTTTGAGCTGGGATTTTCAGTGACCCTTCATGAACACAGTGTCAAGAAGTGAATATGTAATCAATGTTTTCTACCTCTGTCTGCAGGATACAATCCGTGTTTAAGACTGTGGGATTCTGTGTGTGTTTAAACTCTTATTGCAAGATTATGGAGGATAAATCCAGGAATCTGTTCACAGTGGTAGGATTACATTACATACAGACTCACTGTATCTGCTCTGCTGTTAAATAAATAAACTTAAGACTGCAAAAGCTGCTGATCATCATGAGGGATGTATTGCTTACAATCTATCTCTGTACATCCACTAAATCAACTTCTTCATAATGTATGAAAATAGCCTTGTTTTAAGCATTTGAAGGCTTTTCACAAACCCACAAACAACGTCAAATATGGCGACATGATTTTCACAGGACAGCGATGTGACATCATGGGAGTGTTGTGCATGAGCTCACGGCTGATCATCTGTGTGTAATCCTGCATTAGACCACCTTAGAGAGTGAGGGGGGTGGGGTGTGAATTGGAAGCCTGTTCCATCGTTTTCCTTTAAACTGTAAAAGCCTAGAAGCTGTTTTCTGTCAGTTTCTCCAACAGCAGTGCGCGTCACGCAGTGGACGCCTTAGCGGGAGGTGCAAGGCGCGTCACTTTCATTAACTCAGCGGTGAAGAAACCTGCCACCTTGAGAAAATGTCAGCTGCAGGAAGTGGAGTCTGGTGGCTGCTGTTGTTTGGTCTGAGAGAGCAGGAGATAAAGTGGAGGCTGACAGCAGCTGCAATGGGGTTGCTTTCCCCAAAAGATCCACAATATATGGGGGCACTGTCCTTGTCTGGAGCTGTCTTGTTCTAGGCCCCTTAGTTCTGTTCTAATGCTACTGCATACAGTGATATTTTACATACTAGTGTTTCCAAATTTGTGTCAGTAGTTTGTGTTTGACCCTTTCCCATTTCAACATGACAATGCCATCGTGCACAAAGCCAGGTCCACAAAGAAATTTCTCAGTTTGGTTTAAAAGAACTTGACTGGCCTATACGGAGCCCTGACCTCAACCTCATCCAACACCTTTTGGATAAACTGGGACACTGACCGTGACCCAGACCTCATCAACCATCACCCAACATCAGTGTTGGACCTCACTAATGCTCTTGTGACTGAATGGGAGCAAATCCCTGCAGCCAGGCTGTTATAGCAGCAGATTAATGTCCACATTTATGGAATAACTGTGCTGCACAAAATTATCCTACTACTGTCACTACTAATCGACTCCAAATGGCCTGAAATCTGCTTCTAAACACTTTCTGGAGGCATAATTTTGGCCAAAACACTCGATCATCTCATTGATTTTGAATGGGGACACATATTGGCCCATGTCTCCAGAACGGAAGGTTGGATCAACTCAGATCTGGCATTCAGGGTCTCTGACCACGGCAGTCTTGGTCCTGTGTCAATGCAACCTTTCCTTTAGCGTTTTTTGCGGCCACTATAGTTTCTCTTGCAGGCTTGGAAGGGGAGGGTCACACAAGGGATA